AAACTAAGTATCAACCGAGACTTAAAACAAAACATCAAACAAACTAACTCTAACCGAGTACCAGCTCCGGTTACACTCAACTTGTTGGTAGCGCCATCATATTGTTCAGGGTCAGGTATCGAGACTTGTTTGTTGCCACCAGCAGGAGCTGCGGCACCGGGGGTGGGCATGAGGGTAAGGGCGGTGTTCACGGATATGATGGTAGCGTTGGCCTGTGCGAGGCTGGCTTCGACGATGAGGAGTCGGGCCTCGACACCTTGGCCTTCGGTATGGGCCTCATCCCATTCTTGCGCCAGGAGGTTATACTGTTGCTGCAGGTGTTGGTACTGAGGGGTCTGTTCTGGAGGGACGGGGGTTGCTTGGTGAGAAGGAGGGGCAGGTGCGTTCAGGATTTGACGAGCCAGATTTCTGACGAGGTTGAACTGGGCCTGGAGCTGTTCATGGTCTAGGCTTTAAGCGTGGTCATTCCCCAGATTTGCGAGGGTATGAAGGGGACCGTTGATGTCATTAGGGAGGTGGGACATGGCCATGGTGTGGTGTGGGTTGGGTGCTGGTGGACGCAATCTTGTGTAACAGACAGGGTCTGAGGGTCGGGTAGCCCAAGGCACACCACAATCAGGACAGGTAGGACTCTGGAGACGAGGTCTAGGTGCGGGGGTACAACCAAAGCGAGTTGTACGAGGTTCGGGGTTCAGGGGTTTAGGGTCAGGGTTCAGAGGTTCAAGAGGATGCCAGAAAGTAGAGGGTATAATTCCTAGGTACAGGTGTCCAAAGGAGATTACCAGATTGCGTAAAGAAAGTAAAATATAAAGGGGCACACCCCTTTATATACTAAGAAAATCATCCGTAATCACTAATACAAAGAAAGTCCTTGGTGTTACACGCAGCCACAATTCCTCCATCTGGTTCCACTATCTTCCGTTGCATGGCAATGCATCCTAATTGTTCATACAAAGGAAATCCAACCATACAACCAAGAAAACCACAACCAATATATGCAACAAAAAACCCATGCACATTCCGTCTCCATAGCCGGGTGGCCGTGACATCTATAGTCCTCTGATCAATATATAAGTAAGTGTCTATCAATAATCATTATGTAGCAAACAATTCTAATATGTTCTGAAATTCCTCTGCAAACTTTTCAGATGTAAAGTAGGCTAATAGTATGCTTAAGGTAGGTTAATTATATTCTTCATAATAATATTATGAAGCTGCTGCCTAGTATAGTAGGGTAACATAACTCTTATAAGTAGTATGACTTCAACTGGCATTTCATCCTACCCTTAAAATCATTTAAACATAGTCATATTACTACTACTATTTAGATAACCTGCTCCCTTCAGTACCTTATACTTATTAAAATACCTAAGCTATTAAATATCTTATTAAAGATGTTCTTGCATATCTATCTAGTCTACCACTTAATCTCATAGTATTATGTGTAGGTATAGACATAGGTTACTATAGTTCCTTAATGCAGAGTCATTACAATCTGATAAGATCTGAGATATTCTGATGCCTAGAAATCACAAGAAAGTATCAGATTTCTTACTAGTCTCTAATAGGTTTTAGACTTAACTTCAAAGAATATAATATAGAAATAGACTATAATTAAATAAATAGACTCTCTCTACCATCAATGTCAAATTATCCTACCTTCTCTCTTGTCTTTTCAATAATAGATTTTTTTCAATCTACTTTCTCCCTAAGGTAATATTGTTACTTTCCCTTACCTGCAATATACTTAATCAAATTTCTTAATTTCTCACTATACTATCTATATTGTAGATATAAGCCATTAAACATAACATAACCTTTGATACCAATATTATAATATATAAGTAGATAATATTTCAAAGCCATATGTGCCATATTTTAAAATCTGAAAAGAATTTTATCCAAATTTATATAAAACTAGTGATGTTCAAGTTTCATAGCGGAAGATCCAAAAACCTATATGCAGGACACACTAGACATACTATATGCAAAATCTTTCCTGTATATGTTAGAACATACTATCTATACCTCTAATACTGAAATAATTTTTGCTAATATATAAATATTGAGGATGTATTTTTCACTATAATAATTATTTCACAAAAGTTCTACTATTTCAAGTACTTTAAAATTTTCAAATTACTACTTGTAGGACCATATAACTCAATTTTGTTAAATCTTCTCATCTACTTTCTTGCTTTTATCTGACAAGATAAAACTTTGGTTTAATTCCTTACTACTAGTACTACCTATGATCTATACTAGCAGCTATATTCTCACAATTATACAATCTAATCAAGTTACTAATCTTACTACTTAAAATTCTATAATATATATTAAAATATACTAAATTAGTTTTAGGAAAATATATGATTAGAGATTTACTTATACTAACAACTATATGAAATTACAATTTGTATATGAGTAGTGTTAATACTACAGACCTACATCAAAGTTATTATTCTACTCAACTTCAAGTAGTATAAATGTATATATCTATTTTCTTTTGACTTCTAGGTATAATTATTATCAACTCATATATTCTTACAAGAAAAAGAATGAGAAGAATACAAGCTTCTTATTTGCAAGTTTACTTCAAGTTCCAAGAAAATCTTACTTGAAAACTGGTCCATAAAGGTTTTCAGCAGCTCAATCCTATGTGTACTTAGAAATTATAGTAGCTCTTAAAGCAAATAGCTAATATTGCTCCAGTATTGTCCCTTCTGGTATTAACCCTTAAAGTCAGGTAAAAGTATATGTAACAAAAAATACACTACTATATTTGATATGTAAAGATTCTGTACTCTATTAGCCTATTCAAAGTAACATTTACAAAAGGCTACAATTGTGTATTTTTTACCAACCCCTATCTAAGGCCCTCTCAATACTCTGTTGTATTATGGTTTTACTTCTGCATCAAGTAGCCCTCATGGTAGTATTGAAACAGCAAATTTTGTTTGTATGATAGCTATTGTACTATTCCTGACTTTAAGGTTCCTCTATGTAAAAGTTTTTGTTTTGATTTTTTTCATTCCCTAAATCATAATGTTTAGTTTTTGCCTGATTTCACTTCCTTCACCTTTTGTACCTCTTGGGTATTAATTCATGATAATATTATGTAGTTTATTGTTGCCTTTCCTGTTCTGTGGCTTGCCGATCGTCTTCTTAGTGGAGCACTAAAAGTGCGTGAAACTCGGGAAAGAACGAAGGGATGGGCATACGGTAACTGAATTCGTCAAAGCAGGGTAACAAAGCTTGTTGGCTAAGGATCCCCGCTCGTTACTCGCTCAGTTTGGTCTTGCGGCTCTTGCCCACCCTAGTGAAGACGGTTGCCTCAATCCACGTCTGGTTGTTGGGAGCAGCTGGGGTGTTTCGTGGCTGAGCGCTGTTTAGTCACTCCTATGCTGACTTTTAAGTGGCTCGTCTGTCTTGCCTCTGCTGCCATCTCTCCTTTTTCCCCCTGCCCTTCTCCTTCATTTCCTTCTCACTGCCTTCCCTCCGCTCCGTCCTCATCACCTTCCCACATCGATAGTTCCAACTTCCAACACCTTCTTCGTACCTTCCTTCCGTCCTCCCTTCTTCCCTTCACCAGCAACAAGACAAACCGCCTCTTCGCGCATCCCCACCCTTCTTGTATCTTCCTCATCGTGATCAGAACGCTTCGTCTTCTGTCCCGCGCCAGAAACTCAATAAACCGCGAACCCCTCCTACTCGCCCTCCTACCCCAACCTTTTTTTTTTTACATCAACCTCAATAATGATGACATCCAAACTTGACCAGTCCCTTGACGAGATTCTCGCCGAGCGTCCCCGTGGCTCTCGCCGTGGTGGCAAGGGAGGTGTTTCCAACCCCCCTGCTGGCGCTATTCGCAAACGGTCTCAGAGAGCCGCTGCCCACAAGGCCAATGTCGCTGTTACTCAAAACACTTCGAAGGCCTCTGGCAATGTCCCTACTGGGCCTTCGGGCAAGGTTACTGCGTCAAAGATTATTGTTTCCAACCTGGTGAGTCATTTCTCGATTTTTATTTAATTTCTATCATTCTTATTTACCACACATGTTTTCTCGTGTCATCCACTAACATCTTTCCAAATAGCCCTTCGATGTTTCTGAGGCGATGATCAAGGTACGTTGACTTGCAGAACGAAGTCATAGCAGCATGTGTTGGGGATGAAGCACGAATGCTACGGAGCTGGGAGCGGGCAACAAGCTTCAACTCTCCCAAGCTCTTCGATTTTGAGGATGATCGATTGAGGATGAAGACCGTATACCCCCTTGTGATACTTCTGCCTTAAACTGCGGCTCGATTCCAATTCCGTGCAAAGCGAACGATGATGTGGCTCCTGACGGGGCGCTTCTGACGTCTTATTTTCTTCTGGTGTGGGTGTGCATCTCATACACAACTGGCAAGAATTTTTCCCCCTCTCCTTTTATTCAGGCGGCGACCTTTTGGCAATATCTATCGCGGTGTTTGTGTCATCACTGCTTTAGGGTAGAGATGATCCAGAAGTCAAACATCTCAAAATGATGCCCTGTTGGCAAAGCTTAGCACGCGCCCACTTGATTTACCCTTGAGGAACGAAACGATGAAAGATCGAAAGCATTTACTAGCAGCTTACATCGATTGGACTCGGATCGGGAGAGGTTGGGTCACTGGGAAAGCAGCTGAAGAAATCCACGAAGCCCAAAGTTGTTAAGGCGCCGCATGCTTCACGTTTGTTGAAAGACATATCATGTTCTACACGGTTGTCAAGTTGCGTTTTTCTTTGTGTTTTCAACTAGGACTTCAAGCTTGTCGAGCCTCAACGGCATCTACTATTCAGGGCCATACATCGTCGTTCGCTGCGGTTGCAATTTGGAGTCGCTCACAGTTCTCTCGCAGCATCCTGGGACGCTTGTTGGCTGAGGCTCGCTCCGGTCTCCGTAGCTTTGTTGCATGCATCCCCTTCTTCCCATCCGCATGCTCCCTGCAACAGCTCCTTTTTTCTTCTTCTCCAATCGCCTCAATATTTCTGCGAGCGGATATGGGATCTTTTCTATGGCAACTTATTCTAACAATAGCTTTCTTGCGTTAAAGGAGTACTTCACCAAGGTTGTCGGCCCGATCAAACGTTGCGTCATTACCTATGGCCCCAATGGTCAGTCTCGTGGCATTGCCACAGTTGAGTTCTCTAGATCATCTGATGCTGCCACGGCCGCTCAGAAATACAACGGGGTTGAAGTTGATAGAAGACCAATGAAGGTAAACTGCAGAGTCTTGTCTCTTGTGGTGGAAGTGTGGTTGCTAATAAAGATGACAGGTCGAGCTCGTTGTTGATCCCAACGCGCCATCTTCTAACTTTGCCGATCGTATTGGGTATGGTAGCCCTGGCTCAGTTGCCAGTTAGTTCTTATTCTAACCTTGCTTAGAGCACCTAAGCCTCTCCCAGGAACCAAAACCGTCAACAATAACAAGCCTAAGCCAGCTGCTTCTAAGCCTGGTCGCGCTGGCAAGTCCCGTCGTGGAGGTGGACGTCCTGGCACTGGGCGTCCCGGCAGAGAAAAGAGAAAGACTGCGGATGAACTCGACGCTGAAATGGCCGATTACTTTGAGAGCGGCAATTCCGGAAATGCTCCAGCCAATAATGCTACTACTGAAGCAGCTCAAACCACCAATGGTGGTGATGTCGGCATGGACGATGATGTTTTGGTTGGTACACCTTGATTACAATTCTTTCTTTTCTTCATGTTCGACACGATGATTGGTCCGGGGCTCCTCTGCACAATCTTTTCGCCTAGTTCGCATTACGTATGGTATAGGCTGAAGTGAGCCATCCACTTTTCAACAGTCCTTCAGTCATCCCTTGCAAGGACCAGCCTTCATTGATCCTAGCCAAACAATCGCACCAGTAGTTGCTATGTCAGGGCCTACGAGGTTATGGGGAATAATAAGCTGATTCTGGATGCTCGTGGAACAGTAAATCGAACGTCGTCGATGACAAGTTATGACAATGTTTCGGGAGGGTTTGGGTAAACATTTAATCAGAGTTGGATTTGGGCTTTCCGCCCAGCATTGCTGGAGAATAGCCACTTTTTTCATTGTTAGTTCGGCTAGTTCGTTGTCAAGGATGTGGAAAGGGTTAGGACAACAAGTCCTGATTCTAGTTTCCTTTGTATTGTTGTTTCATTTACTCTCTTCTATCCAGCGTTCCCACCTGGAGGGCGACTACGGTATTCTTCGCATTCAATGCATCTATTTTGTTAGTACTTGCTAGCTCTCTTTTTTTCTCGCTTTTCATTTGCCCTTTCTTTTTGAAATTTAGGTGGTTGAGCCTAGGGGGCAAGCGGTGCTCCCTCACTTTCTGGCAGCAGATATTACACTCCTGGCTCCACCATACATCTACTAAAACCTTTCTTCCCTCTTTTTCAGCCTTTTTGGTTTTAGTCTGAGCCCTCAGGGAGGTTCATGGGAAGCACCGGATTGGGTGTTGGCGAAATTGTCATAGTAAGATGGTGCTAAAATTCAGATATAATATCCGAGCCAAACATGGTGTTTCTTGCCGGTTTCATATCCTTGGTGGCTGTTACAAATATCGTAGATTGAACGCCATTATCTGTACCAGAACAGTGCCGGTACCGATGATAACTTGTAGATTACAATACCGTACTTTTTATTTATTCATGCCTAAACATGGCTTCCCGGTACCAACTCCTAAGCTAAGAGCCAGCTACGCAGGCCGCCCGACTTAATACAGTTAATCCGTAAAAACACCATAACCAGTGACTCACGTCTCAACCCAGTTCCAAGCCGAGCACGGTTTACTGATCAATCAGTGACGCTAGGGAGGCCTTCGACCTGACTTACCAAGATCTAAGAATTTTTGGCTCACGCAGGGAACCGCTTGTTGGGTTCAAACACAGACCTTCAAATAGCCGGCGGGGGGGGGGGGGGTTGAACAACCTAAAGCACCCCCCTCCTTAAGCTGTTCCTCACTTAAGAGGGCTTCTTTCACAGACTACCACCACTACGGTCGGGGGGGAAGAAATGCCGTTTACTTTTCTATCTTGAGGATCCATACACTCTTTTAATACGTCAAGAACCGGTTCTTTTACCCCCGCAATCACTCACTACGGCTTCTGTTGACCTTGAGAGGGAGCTTTCCGACTGGGAAACTATGATCCTATGAGATAGCAAAGGGAAATAGAAAGTCCCTTTCTGAATGTGAGGAATTCGAGCTTCCGGGGGAAGAGATTACTGAGGAAGAAAGTGGCTTTGAGGAGACCAAGAAGGGGAAGAACGCTCAAACAATGCCCGGCTCCAGTTCCTTTGGAGATGGGGTGGCGGCGAAGAAGTTAGTGGGGAAGGTGGGAAGTGGGGAGAAAGCAAAGACAAGGGCGAAGCTTGAGGTGGAAATAGATGCTCTTGACAGGCCGATTGCGGTTGACGTGCGGATTCGTTGGAAGGGAAGTTGGGACTTGTTTGGTGTCTAATTCTCGGCTCCTCTGGCCACGCAGAGAGAGCCTATGAGAGTATCAGGCGTGCTTAAATACCTATCTCAGATACTCGAACCCTCCAGTGTTTCCTTGTTTCGTTTTTTCAGAACCTGCCGGCTAGATACCATCTTAAAAACATGGCACCTCTAGCTAAGCATACGTCGGGTCACTCGGTCTCGTGAATACCTGGGATCTCTGCAAGTTGATCAATGGAACGAGTACGTTTCAGGTTTTTGCGGATATCAAGTGAGATTCATCCATTCGCCAGTTACGCCAAATACAACTATCCCCTCGATTTTGCAAAAAAAAACCCTTTTGGCCAGGCGGGGAGGCTGGCGATGGGGTATGGTCGCTGGTTGATGACACACGCGGGGCAATTCACACGGGTAGGAAACACACGAAAGGAGGTTGTTGAGGTTTCGACCAGTGATTTGGGCTATCAATCCCAATTGCTAAGTTTACTAGGGTTGAAGGGTCAGGAAGATAGCGACACTGTAATGATCCCGCACATGGGAGAACTATTTGAAGCAAGGAAGACGTTGTCGCCATTCTGGAAGATCTATTTTAAGCTCTCGGACAATGTTAAAGCCATACTTGTTCTCGAGAACGACGGTGTGGTTAGTTCTATCCCCATCCCTATCCTCCCTTCAACACTAGCAATGCTTCCCAAGCGTGGACAGTCCACGACTTACTTCCCATTTGCCAAGCACTTAATATCCGCCATTCCGAGAGAGGAACATGGACCTTCTGCCCTCTCCCTAGCAATAAAGAAGTCATGACCCGCAAACGCATAACTCAGAAACAGCACTACTGAGAACCTCGCAGAGGCGGCATCGCGGGTTGAGTCCACCAGAAGCACACGTCCGGAGTCAGCGTCCTGTCCTCCCGTGACGACACAACGGACCTCATGGTGGAAGCCAAGAGCAAAAAAACAAGCCGCCTTTGATCTATACCTTGTTGTGATGGTGGTCGCTATCAGAATGCGCAGTGCTAATAGAACGGAACAGTAAAGAGAATATCTGTGGTGGAATCACTAAGAAAGATGTGTTCTTCGTCTCTCTCCTTCGCTAATAGGTAATGACAGGTGTATAAGGAAAACATCCTCTAAGCAATCTGATCTCTCCATAAACCACTACACCCATCTCTAACATTCCCTCCATGTCCAAACTCCTCTGTCCACATCCGTAATAACAAAGGAAAAGACATATCCGTAAAATCTGCTTCCAGCCTTCAAACAAATCTATCATACTGCTAAACCCCGAAAAAACACTCCTGCCACTTCTGTGGACAACCTTGTTCTTCCACTTCCCATGCCTTCCATGACCAACCACGACACACTATCACTATCACTTCAACATACCTGAAGCACAACATTGGCCCGGCAAATCTGTTCAATGAAGTGATACCTCACCCATGCACCGAAGAGTCCGGGCCGGTTGTTGGCAGGAAAAAGAGAGGTGTTCAAGAAGTCATATGCGAAGAAGCCATCGTTCCGGGGGAAGAGGTGGGGATGGGCAGTGTAGAGAGGATGGCGTATTGGTCACAGGACAAAGAGGAATGGCTGAGCCCGCCGAAAATAATATGGCAGAAGGAAGAACAAGTAACAGAAAAGCCGGGAGCGAATGGGATGGCGCCAGAAGAGACTTCTGCCGGCACCCGGAAGACGAGCCAAAGGCTAGTCCTCAAGAAAGCATCCGAGGCGGTTAGGAAGGAAGTGAAGGCTTTGGCAGTTGAGTCGAAGGTTTTATGTTAAAAGCGAAGGCTACCTCTACCAAGAAAGAAGTTGCCACTGTCAGGGCGCCTGCTACTAAAAAAAAAGAGGAAGTGCCGAAAAAAATTGGTGTGACTGAAGTATAGGTTGTAGAGGTTAGAAGGAGCTCTAGGCGGAGAGCTGTGGTTGTTCAATAAGACAAACTAAGCCTCTCTTTTGTCCGTCTGTTGGAGGTATGATACATGTGCGATACGAAGCCTTCTCTGGAAATATGATGGATGCCAATGCCTATTCTATTACAAGCGCTTCCCAACAGAGCGAGCACCCCACACGAGCAGCGTTAGCACAACCTACCAAAGACGAGTCAATCAACGGCGAGCGCACGCTATACTAGGGGCTTTCTACGTATGAAAACACTACATCGCGAAGGTGGTGTTTCAATAACCCCTCCTCTCTCCGGATACCTCAACTCGAGTGACAAGGTGTGACTAGCAAAAAGTGATATTTCCCTATCTAACTTGGTATCCTCGGCAAGGCCTTATATAGCATAATTCACATCCCCCATTTCTTGAATAAACATAACAGATCTCCAACCACAACTTACCGAAACTTATAGCTTGTGTACGAAAGCGACAGTCCCCAAGCATGAAATGACATCGCGCTGCTCAATTGAAAGGAAAGGTAGTTGGTGGGGTTCATCACCAACGCATGGAATGACGCTTGCCGAACTTATGCCGGCATTACCCAGGCCGGGTACAGCGCCGTATTTCCTAGGTTTACAGAGATTCTCAGTAAGGCACAGCTAGAGGACGAATTACCAAATACTGGGAGGGTAAGGGGGTAGAGGAGCTACATGTATCCCGACACGAGAATATATCGACTTCTCTTGAGAAACAAACCTCCATCAAGAACTCTGTGGCCTGATCGGATGCGCATCTTCCCGCGAGAGAACGGATTCTTCGGAAGACCCCAATTCGGTGTCCTTTTCCCAGATACCCGCCGAAAGAGCTCGGGTTTAGTCTTTGTGCTCCGCCTTTGGGACGGGTTTGTTACTTTGCTTGTGACGGGGCGCACGAGTGAGCATTCATGAAATTGTATTTTTATTTTTATTTTATAGCTCTACAAGGAATGGCATGATCCGGTATTGAAGAATTTACATATGAGCAGTACGATGCATCTACGTGATACAATGCACGATTCATATTTGATGGCCTAACGCACCCCCGATAGAATGACGGGCCCACCACAATTGGAACTTGGGATTCAAACGGCTCGCCACCCTGCGGGGGAGACGGGAGGTGAAGGGGAGGGAGTAGTTTTCTCGCTTCCTAAAAGCCCTGAGTTTATGTGCGCAAGATCCACCACAAGGGGTGAATTGCCCTCACGCCAAAGGCTTCACTACATGGAATCGATGTATCTCCGCAAAAAAACTCTGTGAGATACTTCACCTAAGAGAATCCAGATGGCGCACCCAATTCATTTAGGAATCATCCATCTAGGCCAGTCCACATCCCTCTGTTGGAGTTTTGACAGGGCGTAGCAAGTGCGGACCGCTCTTCATGCTCAGTCAGGAAAATACCTTGAAGGACGGCTACAATTGCAAAATTCAGAAGGGGTTGGAGAATGAGGGGGAAAAAAATAACAATTGAGATGAGAAGGCTCCTGGCTGCGGTATCTGCTATTATTCCTGTTTCTGTTGTTATAATGGTATATCCGCGACCATTGGCTTTTACAAGACAAGGAGTAGTGGTATCGTAGATCAGAAAACAGAAAGAAATAGGTAAAGAAATTGTGGGCAACCAATATCTTATAACTGCCTTCCTCACCAGCATACTCTTCCATAATTCTATTTCTTGTCTTGTGGGATGGTTCTCTCTTAGATCCAAGCACTTACTTGTTCCATCCTATGCTCCTCCTCCCCCTTCGCGCGACGGCAGGCAAGCCAGGAGTAAGAAACTAAATGAAACAAGAACATGTAGAATCTACCCAACGCGACCTAAACACGCCCCCCTTCCATTCACTACAATAAATCACCAAGCACAATAGCAAGGTATCAAACCCATCCAAACCCATGCACCATCGCTCCAATCAATCGAAAATGAGAACCCCTACCGCAGCCGTCCACCCGACATTCCCAATGACCCGCTCGAAGCGGCTAATGAATTACAGTGAGGCGGTCAAGTCAGCCAGTATCATATAACCTCCAACAAATGTTCAAATCCAAAGGCATCACTCACACACCAGAGGGAGACGCTACAGGAAAACACAGACAATCACTCGACCATTCCAATGAGGAGATCAAGTTAGCTATCTTTTCCGAATGCCTACTCCCCCCACCTCCTCCCCGATCACTCATCACCGATCAATCAATCAATCAATCAATCTCCCGGAACTCCGAAACAGCATTTAAATCAACCCTGCATCCTGTCGATTGCGCTTAGCTCCCCCCGCATTACTTATCACCATCACCCCTACAACAACTCGCAAAAAAACACCCACACCACGTCGTACCCCACCCCCAACGGGACGGACGGAAGAACGGCCGGATATCTTCCAGAAACGTTCCCACCGGGAATCCGCGTTGGGGAAACCACGGATTCCGGATCCTTTTGCTGTGCCGATAGCGAATGCCGATGTACCCCACCCCCCACCCCCACCCCTCTAAGTGAGAATCGTGAGTCGGGTAGTGAGGACTTTGACTAACTATTCATTCATTCATTCATTTATTCATCCATTCCTATGCAGGGTACCCCGCCCTTCCCCCGTTTGGACTTTCTGCCACTAGTGGCGGCAGTGACACCCAGCGGCCGAGATTTCGTCAGGAAGAAATTCTTAGTCCCCCTCTTTACGCACCAGGTTCAAGATTCCAGGAAGAAGAGGGTGGTGGTGGTTAATCTAAAAACCCCTGGAATTGACAACGCGGCTGTCAACCCCGGAGGAATCCTCGTACCCAAAATTCTAGGCCCCCTCTTTTTCCAAAAGGAAAAAAAAAAAAAAAAAAAAAAACAAATTCGCAAGGTTGATGTGTATTATTATTATTATTATCTTGCTTGGTATACAATTTATCCCTCATGAACAATCACTCGCAAGCAACCGCGGAGTATCGGCAAAAAAAAAAAACCATGAGTCCAAGTTGTCCAATGTTGTGCGGGGATGTCCAGAATTTCGCACCGACAGTCACACACGGAGCGGGGATGCGTATGTACCTATTGTACTGTACGCACGTATATGTAGCATCCAGGCCCCCTCACCCTATGCCTCGGCGACAGGGGGAAGAGAGTGTGTGAGAGAGAGAAGCACATTCCACTTGCTACAGCAGTGGTGGTATCATACGGCATCATACATCTAGGCGCTTCCACCACTAAGCACGAAGAAGCAAGGACATTGATGCCAAATACCCTTTTTTTTTTCCTTTTCCCCCTTCCCAGCCCGGGAAACGCGGACTTACGATACACCGGTACCGCTACCGTACGATACCCAGGCGCGGCGGCCGTTCTTGAAACCCATGACAACCATGACAGGTGTCCTTCCTGCCATGCCATGCCCTGCCCTGCCCTGCCCTATCTTGCCTTGTCCCGTCGGGGGGAATGAATGGAACACACGGTTTCACCGGTGGGGGAATCTGTCTATCCACGCTAGCCTATGCATCGTATGTATGATACGAGTGCAGTACAGTACTAGTGCAAGGGACCCGAAGATCATTGCCGATCACTCGGGTAATTTATTTTTATTTTTCTCCCTTTTTTCTTCGGTGATTGCGGATGATTCGAGTCGAGGATAGTTCGAGTGAGTGATACAAACTTAAGTTGCAAGCTCCGAATCGTAATATCATCATGATCAGCATGACCACGCGAAGGAAGGAATGGGTTTCAACGGCGGAAAGGTAAAAAAAAAAAAAAAAAAAAAAACAATGCGTACCGTATTACACAGTAACTGCGCTGCACACGTTTATACCCCGTCACAGTCATGCCGTTGATTTATCGATCGATTGATTGATTGAATTTTTTTTTTCTTTTCAGCTCTCGCTCAGCGCACACGGAGCAGGTGAATCGTTGCTAAATCTGGTGATGCGCGGGTGCGTACCCGCGCCCCGGACGGACAGACGGACGGACGGACAAAACGGACGGACATACGGTGCTGTACAGTACTGTACAGGCGGACAGAGGTGGGTGATTTGTCGTGCTACTTGTACGGGGGGGAGGGAAATATTATGATATATCCTAGCAGCCCTTTCTATTTATTTTTATTTTTTATTTTTATTTTTATTTTCTAGCACTTGAAAACCTTAAAAAATCTGGTTGCCGGTATCATAAATAAAAAATTGTTATTATTCATTTATTTGTAATGATTATTTCATGCTTTGTTGGTATTTACATGTCGATTTTTATTTTATTTTTTCTAAAAAAAAATAAAAATAAAAAATTGATTCGCGTGACGGATGGTAGCGTAACTCAAGGTATCATACGGACACGACGCACATGATGCTGTGTTTCTCCGGGCTGGGAAGAGTGAGGGACAGAAAGGAAAGGGGAAAAAAAAATGCATCACAAAGCTACGGTGCTATAATTCAGCTATGATACCGCAGCGAGACATGCAGGAAGAGATAGATAGATAGATAGCTAGATAGATCCTGGTCAGTGGATCAGAGTTCATTCAGGTGTAACTCATTCATTTATTGTGACGACAGATGGGAAGGATATCCCGTCCAGTTTTGATTCAGGAAATTTAATAAATAAAGGGAGAGATTAATTGAGCAACCCTCTCCCCCCCTCCAAAAAAAAATCGATCAAGAATGAAATGGAAAGATCAAATTAGGTTGTGATTTTGCTGGCCGGCCACCTGGTCAGTCAGTCAGTCAGTCAGTCACAGAAGAAGAAAACACAAGGCATGTTCCTCCCAGCCCA